TCAAGTTCCCACCCATTAAACTATATAGTTTCCTTGAGATTTCTGAAAGAGTCAGAAGGAGGAGAATCTCCCAAATGAGTTGATGTTTCAGAAAACTATTTATTTGCAATCCTACTCTACAATCCTACACAACATCCTACACTACAGTCCTCCTACTCAGGAATCCTACTCTATAATCCTACTCTACAATCCTACTACCTGAAAATCCTACTTTACAAAACTACTCGTCAATCCTACACTACAGTTCTACTCTACACTAGTTATGAAGACAGTGTCTTCCGTCACACTTCTTCTTCTTCTTCTTCAATGAAATAATGAGTGGTGACAGGGTGGATGCTGGCTTGGCTGATGTTACAAATGGATGCTGTCCAAAGGAAAAAAAACAAAAAAAAGCATTAAACCATGACTTTCCAAGCTCAGAGCTTCACAGGCTCACTCAGGATTCCTCTGCTTCCTAGGAAGACCCAGAAAGGGGGCAGACGAGACCATCTGTACCTCCATCTTCATGTGCAGTACCTTGCCATCACAGGCAAACCTGGCCCAGAGTCCCACTCATCCGTGAATTCTGGTTTCTAAACTTGATGGGACTGTTTCTCCGCCACTGCTCTAGAAATGGTGCTTTCTGTCCCTGAGGTTTCTACCTTTCAGGAAACTCCAAAGCCTCACATAGGTTCCTCTCTTTGAAAAACAGGCACTGTGCTAATTTCCACAGGCAGACCGAGCAGTGTCTACCTTTCCATGCCCTGCTCCTCCAGTACTGGATGGCACCTTCCTTCCCAGCAGGGACAGCCAAGTGGCACTGGGTCCTGCAGTTCCCTCTCTGCCACACAACCTGGCAGTAACCCTGGGGCAGTTGCTGTCTGCTTGACCGTGCCAGGCTGAGGATGGGGCAGGGACAAGTCCCACTCAGCTGTCCCTGTTTGCACGGCAGAAACCTCTAAGAGAGGGGCAGGGGGCACAAACCAGGGCCCCTTGGAGGTTCACAGTGAGCTCTCGACAGCCCCTCCTTCCCACAGCCAAATCTCTGACCACTCAGCCAGGACTGGTTTCCTTGGCTTCCTCCACCACCATTACACACCTCTGTAATCTGGATTGCTCTACATCAATTCTTTTGTCATTAGATAAAACTGAACACCCCACCAAATTACAGAGCAGGGCAACAGAAACAGAGCGCAGAGCACCTCTCCTCTGAGGACAGGCTGAGAGACCTGGAGTTATTCAGCCTGGAGAAGAATAGACCCCAGGGAAACTTCATTGCCACTTTCCAAATCTTCAAACTGGCTTCTGAGGGAGTGTGGGACATTTTTTTGAACAGGTCCAGTTACAACAGGATGTGGGCTAATATTTTTAAGATAAAGGGGACCGAGTCAGCGCCCCTAAGGTCTAAGGAAGAACTTCACTCAGACCATGGTGCAACACTAGCACAGGTTGCCCCAAAATCTCGTAGGTGCCCTGTTCCTGGAACCATTCCAGGCAGGTGGGAGAGGGCTCTGAGCATCCTGATCCCTTTAAAGATCTCTCTGCTCATTGCAGGGCACT